TATCTTTATTTTCTTTATTTGTGTTCTAAAGATAGACAAAAGTCTTATAGGTTTGGAATGACATGAGGGCATTTTTTTAGTAAGAAAGGAAGACCAAGAATGATGATTCTCCAAATCAGACAACTCCAAAGTTGGTTTGAGTTCTGCAATGAAAAACACGGACATCAATGGTTTAAATAAAATATGAACATGTAATCTGTTGTTGCATCAAAATGTGAGGTAAACAGGCAGGAGACAACAGAAACATTTATTTTCTAAAAATAACTCACATCAATCTCAAAAGAATGATGCTCTCCTATGCCTCTGGCTTTCAACATCTACATCAACATCGCACTGGTGTCGTTGAGATACGTCCGATATTAAAGTGACGTGTGTGCTCTATTTCAAGTCCACGTTCCCAACCCAGCACCGCTGGGTGATTGATCAAGACCAATTTTCAACCCAAAATTGGGTTAAAACAACCCAACGTCCTTACCCAGCGGTCTCAACCCAGCATTTGGGTTGAAAAAACAACCCAGCGTTTTTTTAGAGTGCAGCCATTAGTTATCAGCTCCACTTTTACTGGATTCATCTGTTCACATGATGATTTAGAGCCAGTAGTTTTCTGTGAGATTCACTATCATCTGTTTGTCCTGCAGAAGCAGCTGAAGGAGATGCAGAAGATGCTCCAGCAGAGAATCCAGCTGAGAGAGAAAGAACTTCAGCAGCTGAGAGAGGCTGTGGAGTCTCATAAGGTGAGTCTGGAGAAGAAGAGAAGTTTGTCTCAGTCTCAGTTCATACTCACTGAAGCCTGAATCACTGTGTGTCCTAACAGCGCTCTGCCCAGACAGCAGTGGAGGACAGTGAGAGGATCTTTACTGAGCTCATCTGCTCCATTGAGAGAAATTGCTCTGAGCTGATACGGCTGATCAGAGATCAGGAAAAGACTGCAGTGAGTCGAGCTGAAGGACGACTGGAGCGACTGGAGCAGGAGATCAATAAACAGCACAAAAAATACACACACACTAGGGAGTGACAGAGATAACAGAGAAAATGAAGAAAAGGAAAAGAGAAGTGAAGTTGCAGTTCAAGAGAGAGCCTTTAATTATTTTGCACAGTCACAAATAATATAAATAACAGGGTTGTCTGTGGTTTTTGTTGTGGGTGCATAGGATGGCCTGGACGAGTGTGAGATTTCCCAGCCTGAAATTGTGTCCCAGTCTGGCCCTGCTTTTAGGATATTTATGCTTATAATGTGAAATGTCCTTAATCTTCATGTTAATTCATGTACGATGATTGTGATATTTATGCTTATAATGTGAAATGTCCTTAATCTTCATGTTAATTCATGTACGATGATTGTGATATTTATGCTTATAATGTGAAATGTCCTTAATCTTCATGTTAATTCATGTACGATGATTGTGATATTTATGCTTATAATGTGAAATGTCCTTAATCTTCATGTTAATTCATGTACGATGATTGTGATATTTATGCTTATAATGTGAAATGTCCTTAATCTTCATGTTAATTCATGTACAATGATTGTAACCGATCATCATTTCTGGAGTTTGAACCTACAGCCATTAGTTATCAGCTCCACTTTTACTGGATTCATCTGTTCACATGATGATTTAGTGGCAGTAGTTTTCTGTGAGATTCACTATCATCTGTTTGTCCTGCAGAAGCAGCTGAAGGAGACGCAGAAGACGTTCCAGCAGAGAATCCAGCAGAGAGAGAAAGATCTTCAGCAGCTGAGAGAGGCTGTGGAGTCTCATAAGGTGAGTCTGGAGAAGAAGAGAAGTTTGTCTCCGTCTCAGTTCAGACTCACTGAAGCCTGAATCACTGTGTGTCCTAACAGCGCTCTGCACAGACAGCAGTGGAGGACAGTGAGAGGATCTTTACTGAGCTCATCCGCTCCATTGAGAGAAGCCGCTCTGAGCTGATACGGCTGATCAGAGATCAGGAGAAGACTGCAGTGAGTCGAGCTGAAGGACGACTGGAGCGACTGGAGCAGGAGATCAATGATCTGAGGAGGAGAGACGCTGAGCTAGAGCAGCTTTCACACACACAGGATCACATCCAGTTCCTGCAGGTAACAGAGATCTAGGAGAACAGGATCATAGTGGACTTGAGCAGATCCTGCTGTGACAGAGACTCACAGAGAAACATTTCATGAGTGTCTTATTATATAATCATCAGTCAGACTCTCATCTGATCATCTTCTTCTGAAAGAGATGCCGCTTACAAATAGCTTTCAGCTCTGGAAATCTCTTAGGAATAATTTATCTGAGCTCTTTCTTCTGAAAGATATATTTAGCTGTCAAACACCACTAGCGCCACCAACAGTTCAAAACTTCACTAACATTTCAGCTTTTTACCTAATTTTTCCTTCTGATTTAATACATCATGGTGAAAACCGTGAACTCGATAGTACTGATTCTGAGTAACGTTCATCAAAATTGGATCAGGTGACCCTCAAACCTGATAAAACTGATTTTTATTTGCCTGTAACACATTGATGAATTTGATCATGAAGACCCCAAACATGAAGT